GTTGTTGGGAGAGAAGGAAGGGAGATGTACTCCCAGGCTTTGGGGCCGCTATAATGCTGGATTTCATTAGCTGGTAGTATGTACACAAAATTCATTTCACCTTTAGTTTTTTTTTTTAACACAGAGGCACACTCCATATACCCTTTTGCATCTGTGTAAGGGAATGGAAGGACCACCTGTCAGGATGGAACATGATGAGAGCAGGGTACAAGCCTGGCTATGGCCCATACACAGCAGGAGGGTCAGGCTGAGCCACATGGGGCAGGGGACCAGCTGAGAGGAGCTGCTGAACACAGTCTCCCCAGAGAAGCTAGGCAGCTCAGCCGTGATACCGCCTACAGTGCTGGGAGGGGGTCTGGGGATAGGAACATGGTGACCCTTTCTGTGTCAGATATAATGAGGCTTGATGTCTGTGAGTTCCAGAAGGACCCAGTAGGCTGCCACTGCCTCTCTGTCTGGCCCTATCTGGCCTCTGTGCCCTTGACACAAAGCAGGGAGGAAGTACATATAGGAGCCATTGGGCAAGAGGGCCTCACTGGAGAGAGCTACACCAAGGCCCAGCCAAGGGGAGCCTGAGAGTCCAGGATACACCCTGTTGTCCTCTCGCAGGCTGCACATGCCTGGCACTGATAAAGTTCCGCCATGGAGGGGATGGCCCAGGAGGCTGCACCCTATGACTACTCCCACACCTCCAGAACTTCCCCTCATTCACCCTTTTAATGCTGGGCACCAAAGCCGGGGGCAGAGACAGACCTGCACAAAGACCCAGCCCCCAGTTCTCTACTCCCCATTTACCCTCCCCAGGAGGTCAAGGGGACAACAGAGGCCCCCAGCTCCAGCTTGAGGACCAGAGGTGTAAAAGGTCCAACAGCCTGGTAAGTGCTGGCCTATACTAAAGACCCCTACAGTCAGAGAAGCCTTACATCACAGAGCCTAAGAGGGCACATAGGAAGCCCTGGTCCTGTGTATTCACCCCCAATGAATGGTAATCAGCACAACAGTCAATAATAACAGGTGCCATTTGCTTGACGAACACTATCTCTGATCTTCACCGCCACCTGCAAGGGAGTAGTGTTTCCTCCCACTTCCCCAAAGAGGAGACTGAGGGTCAGAGAGAGCTCATCACTTGCTCAGGTAAGGAACCAGGATTGGAACCCTGGCCCATTCCACCAGAGCCAAGGCTCCGCCCCTACTTCCTGCCTGGCTGAAGTGTTCCTCGAGAAGGCCCTTCTGCTGTGACATGCACCTGACACTTGGCCACTGTGCATCCACACAGGCAGGGTCTCCACTCCAATTCTGCAGGTGAGGAAACTGAGGCTTCTCCTCTGAAAGATGAGGCATGCCTGGGGACTGAAATCATGTATAGGGTGCAGAGAATGCAACAGATGCTACTTGTCCAATGTCACCAGGCAGTCAAGCTCCTGAGTCTGAGCTATTAACCTCTCCACATAGCTAGCTTCTGGAAGCTCAAGCAGAGACCACCAGGACCAACCTGGCTGACAATGAATCACCTGTGCTCCTGGACTCCCCAGACCCCAGATGCACCTCTGAGCCTGAGGAGGTCCCTGAGCCAAAGGCAGTAAACTGCCACTGCCACCTGCTCTCGCACGCAGTGAGCAAGAGGAAGCAGAGTCCTTTGCCTAATAGAGGAAGTTCCTGGGCGGGACAGGGGGGCCTGCCCAGGGGTCTCAGCCCACCCCAGGTCTAGGACAAGCCACCTGCAGTACCAGCTTAGGGCCAGGTTCTGCCTGCAGGGGCAGTGTTGCAGCCCCCTCTCATCTGTGCTCGCCACCTGGCATCGCCCCTTTAAACTGCAGGCAGCGCCTGGCATGCCAGCGGTGAGTCAGCACCAGCGCCTGCTGACTCACCCACCGGAAGCCTCTGCCGGCCCTGTGGCTCTCTCCCCACATAGGCCAGCTGGGAACTTTGCTCTCTTCAGGACCTGAGCCACAGGCTGGCTGATAGAGAGTTTCCTGTGCGTCATACCAGGGCGGGTGGAAGTCCCCAAGGTGCCACCCTCCAGTCTTTCCGACAGTCGGGACAGGAGGGGGGGCCGCAACCACAGCAGGCAGGGCCAGGCCAGGACAGTGCTGCAGCCTCGCTGGCTGGGCAGCCAGAGCCACCAGCCATCATCCGAGCTGTGTGACAATTAACCATGAACGTCCCAACAGTGGCACTACTGGGCAGAGGCCATGCACAACACATGTGGTGCCCCTGAAGCACAAATGTGGTTTACAGAACCAGGACATACTGACCCAATCTGCTCCTGCACACTGGCCCCTGCACCAGCTGCCCTTGACCTCTGACCCCAGCCAGCATGTGGGCAAGGAGGGAGAGAAACCAGCAAAGCTGTGGGGCCCACAGACCTTATGCACTCAGACCACATACACTTGAGAAGAACTCCCCAGGCTGTGGCAGGAGGATGGACAAGCACCCACTGCCAAGCAGGAAGCTCAAAGGTAAAACTCAGGTAAGGTTAAGTGCCAGCCACTCCCTGATTCATTCACAGTCCTTGAGAAAGAAGGTGAGAGCTCTGAGCTGGGGGCACAGAGTGAGCCTGGATCTATGGAGTCAGTCCAGCAGCTTCCCTGGGAGACTTCAGTTCTGTATCTGTTGAATGGGTCAGATACAGGCAGCACACTGTGTGCCAACTATCAGGACTACACCTCAGACACATCAGACAGTACCTCTGCCACAGTCATCCTCCTGGTCCTGCATGGAGGGGACAGTCACTAGATGGAGAGTAATGGAGAAGGTGTGGTGCATCCCACAGCTCAGCCCAAGCACCCAGCACAGGAATGGGATAGAGTAGAGCACTGGGGACCACTGTGGAGATAGTCCTGGTGGAGCCCTACCTCTAGCCACCATAACTGGATGGCCTCCAGCAAGGCACTTTCTGCCTCTGAGCCAGTTTCCTCATCTGGAAGTGAGGCCATGGGGAATAAATGAGACAATGGATGGCACATGGAAAACAGCTTGAGAAGTGGCAGCTCCTAGAACTTTTGGTGAAGGAACTGTGTGCTCCCCTACTACCTCCTCCAGACCCCAAAGCAGCTACAGGGTCCTGAGCCTTGGAGAGGGCCCTGACCTACACCAAATCCACCCAACATTATGCTACCTGGACCCACAAACTGGAATTCATACTGGCCCTCTCTGCAGAGTGGCCCAGAGAAGGCAGTGTCCAGCCTCAAGTCACACAACAGTGTCCTCACATAATGCTTTGCTAGCACACCCACAACCCCCTCCTGGTCACAACCTGCAACTGCAACTTTTATTTTGATGAGCCATCTCCTGCCTGGAAGAACTGAAATGCCTCCAAAAACAAACACTGCTTCCAACCCCTTCCCGAGAGAAGTGTCTGGTTTCCCGGTTCCCAAGCTCCATGCTATCTGCAGTGCGAGTCTTTCCCCAACCACCTCCCCCAGTGAGTGCCTCCTGAGTTACTCACAGTCAGTGGTTGGGCAATGGTCAGGGATCCGGCCTCCCACTTATGTAAGACGTAATTACCCTGCCCACCCGGCTCCAGCCCACAGTCACCGCAGCCGCCAGCAGCAGGGGCCAGGAAGGGCCCAACCCTCCCAGGACCCCATGCTCCAGAGATCTGGGTCCCTCGAGAGAAAGAGGAGCAGAAAGGGGTCCATGCCCCGCTAAGGGGCCCTCTGTGTGCCTGCTGTTCTCCTCCTCCTGCTCTCTCTGCTGCTGCAATCCAGAGGCAAGGCCTTGACTCCACATGGCTGAGGCCTTTCCAGTAAGAAAAATGGATGGAAAAAGTAACAAGAGGTGAAGCAACTGCCCTTCCTGGGCACATATTATGTGCCAGGTGCCATGTTGATCTTTTAAGCACATCACGCACGCACGCTTGCCTAAAACCCTTCTGCATTCACAATCTCATGCCATGCTCCTGATGTCCATTTTTAAGGTAAGGAAACTGAGGCCCAGAGACAACAAGGGGCTTGCAAGATGAGGCACTGGCAGGTTCAGAGAGCCAGAAGTAAGCCTATTCATTACTGCTAACATCCATTTTGGAGTTCTCTCACACAACCCAGCCTACTGAGATTCCCACATGCCAAAAACATCCATTCCTCTTTCTGAAAAAAAAAAAAAAAATTCCCCTTCACCCTCCAAGTCTTGTCTTCCCCCTTCACATGACAAATCCTGTTGCTGTTGCTGCTGCCATCGCCACTTCACAAAAATTTCCAGGAAGGCCAATGACTTGGAGAAGAGCAAGCCCCCTGCACAGCTGGCGGCCCAGGTCCCCGGCAGCAGGGATAGGCCTGGGAGCAGGAAGCTAAGAGACACTAGCACAGGAGGGAGTCAGTTCCAAGTGCAGAGAGAAAATTACAACTCAAGTAAAAGAGGAGCCAGCAGAAAGGGGGCTGTGCTACAGAGGGGTGAGAGGCCAAGAGGCGTTCTGGGGAGATAGGGCTGCAGAATGGGGTGCCGACCAGCCAGGGGTGGGGCAATGTAGGACTTACAAGGATGGAGAGTGCTGGGGAAGGGGAGGGCAGTCAGTTGTGAACTGGGGTGTAAGTCAGGACCCCAGCATTACGGGACATAGTGAGGTCTCCAGTAACATGAGCACAGCTGAGGCCCTCATGGAAAGTAAGAATTAAATTCCAGCCTGAATATAGCCTTGGAGCTGAAAGGGTCACTGGTACAGCCCAAAGACCCAGGTGGGAATCAGAGTTAAGTCCCAACTGGGTCTAGCTTTGTTCCTGTCCAGGATGCAGCCCTGAGGCCTAAAAGAGGTCAGGGTGAGGTCTCTGGAGCGGGGTGAGCAGAACAAGGTCCTGACCTGGGTCCAGCCTGGGAGATCTCGGCCTGGGTGCAGTCCCAAGACCTAAAAACTGGACCCAGTCCCGAACAGGGAGGGTTTCTGAGCCGGAGCGCTGTTGGCCGAGCCCGGGACAGGATGGGTTGAGACCACAGAGAGATTGGGGTTCACAGCCCGAGCTTGGACTGGGAGCAGGGGACAGGCCGCGGCCGGCGGGCATGCCTACCTTTGGACTGGGGCATGCTGGCGGGCTGGCTCGAGGCAGGCGACTCCATGCTGCAGAACGGTCCCGGGAAGCAGCGGGAACTAATCTAGAGGGCTGCTGGCAGAACTCGGGCCGAGCGCGCTCATGGCTGCGGGCGGGCGGCCCGGACGCGGCGGAGAAACAGAGACAGCAACAGCGCTGGTGGCTGCGAGTTCACGTCCGCGACGGGCGGTGCCACAGCCAGAATGGGCTGAACCAAAGAACCGGGGCCGGACGGCGCCGACGCAGGCTCCGCCCCCCCCCCCCCCGCGCGCATCGATTGGCCTGCACGTCTCTGGGGCCCATCCCTTCCCTATCCGACGCCAGTCTGGCCCTGCCTGTAAAGCACAAGCCTCTCCCCTCGTGGGCCCAAGATCCGGCCACGCCCACTGTCTGTCAAGCCCACTGGCCACTCGAGAAGCCCTAACCCAGTCAGGTCCGCCTCTCCTCGGCTAGGTCCGCCTTTCTCCCGCTGCCTGTCAAGACGCTAGTCCCTCCCACTCCCCCGGGAACCGCTGCGCCAGCCCCCGCCTGTGGAGCACAGGCCCCGCCCCCGCACGCCCCCAGCCCGCAGCCCTCGGCTGTGCGCTACGTGGGCGCGTCCAGTGTGCGTAATCTGGAAAAACCCGGAGATCCCGAGGGTAGCCCTGCTAGGCGGATGCTGTGGCGGGGTTAAAAGTACACCCTGAGAGATACCCGGGTTCAAATCCGACTCGGCAACATTGTAGCGGGGGTGACCTTGGGCAAATCACTGACACCCTGAGCTTCTATTTCCGCCTCAGTAAAAGAGCAGAGATAACAGCCCTGCCTCCTGGCGCAGCTGATGACAACGGGAGCCGGGCGTTGGCGCGCGCTCTGTAAATGTTTGTTGACTGACTGTTGTAAAGAGCTTAACTCCTTGCCTGGCTTGCACACATTTATGTCCTGCATCAGCAAGCATCCACGAGCTCCCGCGCGTGCCGGCACCGTGCCAGGGTGGGGATGCAGTGGTGAACTTGATGGTGCCTGGTGACAAGTCAATGCAAGTAGTTTTCTTGGTTGTGTTGTTAGTGCCCCTGTTCTACGCAGGGCAAAACAGAGTCATTTCAAGGCAAGCCTTGACCAAGGTCCCATCCGGCTGTCTGGGGCCTTGGTTTTCTCCTTGTGTCCTCTTACTCATTTGTATAATGCCCAGGCAGGCCAGTCCCCCCTTCGCCCCTTCCTGGAACCTCAGGGGATTTCAGGAGACACAGACCAGTCAGACGCTGGGATCAGGTGACTCTGGATGGAAAGTCAGAGCTAGTAAGGGCAGGAAGCGCCAGGCAAGGTCAAGGGGTCAGCCCTGGCACCCAGGCAGGCATGAGTATGTGCCCTGTCAGGCAGGGACCTCACGTGAGGGAAGCCGATTCCACCACCTGCTAGGAACGCTTGGAGCAGGGGACTGACCTCTGCTTGCCTGTGTGTAAAACATGGACCCCGAAGGGCCCTCCCACACAGTAGTGGGGAGGGTCAGATGAGATAAGAGGAAAAGACCTTATAATTATCATTGTGCTCTTCCTGCGTCTCTTGCTCATCCTTTCCAGGAGGTGGAAGGAAAAATCATGAGTTTTGGACTAAGACAGGGTCGAGTTCGAATGCCATTTCTACCATTAGCTGGATGATCTTGGAGAAGTCACTGAGCAGCTCTGACCTCAGTTTACTTATTTATCCCATGGGAGACTGAGGCCTCTGAAACCATTTCACCAGCTCAGGCTTGGAAGGGTCTGGCCTAGGGCCTGGCTCTCACTAGGTGCCCAGGAAATGAGTTTGGAAACACTGTGGACCATGTACTACAGGAAGACATCCCAGCTGTACCCGGGTATCCAGAATACCTTGGGACCTGCACTTATCCAGCTATGAAAGGGGCACCCAGCAGCAGCCTCCTCCCTGCCAGAACTGCACATCTGGTCTGGCAGGTTTTCTGGGTTCAGCTCACTGTCAGCTGCTGACTTCTGCTCCTCCTACTCCTCCTACTCCCTCTCCTCACCACTCTGTTCCTTGGTATGTTAAAGGGTCTTAGCACCACCCCTGAACCTACCAACAAGGGTCTTGCCTCAAGGCCTTTCCCTTGCTGTTCCTTCTTCTGGATCATCTTTCCCACCAACCCTACCCCATGTCTCCTGGTCTGGTGCCCTTTCATCTCTCAGAGTCCCTCCTAAATTAGCACCCAAAGAGGCCTTCCCCAACATAGACCCCCAAATCAGTCTTCCTTCTCTGAAATGCCTTGCTTACTTTGTCTGTAATGCAGTCCCCTGCTCTAAAGGGAGAATTCTGCCCATCTCATTCCCTGTTGCATTCCTGAGGCTTAGACCAGAGTCTGGCACACAGTAGGTGTCTAGTAACTATCTGAAGAATGAAGAGAGGAAGGAGGAAAGCATGCAGCAGACACGGGTGAAGCCTCTCTAGTCTCGTGCCGGCCTTACAGACACCAGATGACTCAGACAAAGTCCTCAACATGAGAACTCTATGGATTCGTCAGGGAGCCTGACAAACAGCCAAAGAATCAAAAACCTCCATGTGGGGTGCTGTTAATAGAGTATGAGCAGGAGTCCCAGGAAGGAGCCCAACTCCACCTGGGTGGGGACAGGGAAGGCTTCTCAGACAAGGTGACCTTGACACTGGGTCTTTATGGACCAGGAGGAGCTTGTTGGGCAGACAGACAAGAGAGCATCCCTGGAGAGGTCAGCAGAGGCCAGGGCTGGGGCATGGAGGGCCACACAGGAAGCCAGGCAGGGCTGCCACCTGCAGAGCTGCTGAGCTATGGGGTGAGGAGCCCACTGGGTGGCCATCAGCTAGCTATTTCTTGCTACCTGTGGCACAGCATCTGTTAACCTCCTTCTGCCTCTAAGTGACACAGCCAGGCTGAGGGACTCCACGACCACTCAGAAACTGGGAGGATCATTGGACATGGGTCCCAGGAACTGCCTCTTATCCTGACTCCAAGAAGAATGCTCCTCTCTGTAAAGGCAGGGAATCTGAGGCTCGGGATGGGACTAGGCATGGCCCAAGTTAGGACATAGATATGAACTGAAGTGGGCTGGACCTAGAACGACAGAGGGTTGGAGAGAGAGAGAATGGTCTGAGCCCAGGATGGGGGCAGTTCATTCATTCACTCATTGAACAAATATTCATTGAACATCTACTGTGTGCCTACCACTGAGGGCTCAGCATTGAACAAGACAGAGGGTGTGACTGGGTGGTCAAAATCAACCAGCAAAAGAGCTAAGTTAGATGATAGGATGTCTGAGGGTGATACACGCTGTAGGGAGTGGCAAGGAGTGTGTCTAGAGTTAGGGCTGTCACTTTAAAAATAGAGGTCAGGAAGAGCCTCCCTGAAAGGTAACATGCAAGCAAAGACTAGGGGAGGTGAGGTGCCCAGTGCAGCTGCAGTGGTGGAGGTGAGGGGCCCTGTTCTCATCTTCATGCAGACCTGGTTCATTCTCACTACCACACCCTTGCACAGTGTTATTCCCCTGTGCTAGCCACACACCCCAAGTGCACCTTCACACACTCACGAATGTGAATGGGGTGCACAAGTGTGTACATGCATGTGGGGCGACATGTTCACAGACACAGCCTGTATGCACAGCTGTGCACATCTACGCAGTGCCCCGCTGCCACCTGCAGAGACCTCCACAGCTTGCTGACGCACAGCGCCCTCTGGTGACCAGAGGCTGGCCCTGTGGAGTGCTCTGCACAGGACGGTCACCCTCTGTGCTCTGACTGCCTTCCAGGCTCCTCCACCCTGTGCTGCCTTCCCCCAGGCCTTCCACGGTGCAGCCAGAGAGAACCTTCCAAAATAGCACTGGCCACACTCCAAACCCTGCCATGGCTTCCTAGGCGGGACCTTCCAACACTCTGGCCCTGCCACTCCCACCATAAGCTTTCCTCCTTGAGCCTTTTTTTTTTTTAAAACAGTACTGTGGTCTGAACTAAGGGCCTTGCACTTGCTAGGCAGTTGACATATCACTTGAGCCATAGTTATTTTTCAGATAGGGCCTCATGTTTTTTGCCCAACGGGGTCCAGATCACAATTTTCCTTCCTACCTATGCTCTCCTGTCTAGCAGGAATCAGAGGTATACCCACCATGCCTGGCCTCTCCTTAAGTCTTTCTTTGCAAATGCTGTTCCCTCAGCCAGGAATGTCCTTCCCTGCCTTCTCCAAGTGACCTTGCCCTGTCCTGCCCCCCAGCCCAGGCCCTCTTACTATGGCTCATCTATCTGTTCTTTTAGTAGCCACAAACCCATCCACCTCTCCCATCAGACTTGCACTGCTCCAAAGCAGGGGTTGGGGCTGGTTCCTCCCAACCTAACATTAGAGCTCTTAGATTTGGCCTGCCCAGCTCCATGAAGGGTTGTATAGAACCTCAGGCCACAGCAGACACCAGTCCAGGAATCCCAGGAACCTCACCTGGTGCTTCTGGGCCCCTCAGGTCCTCAGACATGGCCCTTCCCACCTAGAAGGTAGAAGACAAATATTTATTGGCACCTATTGCATGCCAGGCCTTGTGAGGTGACACCCTTGTAAAGCTAGCATGGTTAACCCTTCATCTTACAGATGAGGAAACTGAGGCTCAAGTATTTTGCCTATATCTCATCACCAGGAAGGATGAAAGCAGATTTTTAACCAAATCCCCCTAATGACAGCTGACATACTGTGCCCCGGGCTTTTTACTGGGAGGCTTGGCTTGTCTGGAATCCAAAACCACAGGGGTGATCTTATCTCCACAATATAGTGAGAAGTACTGCAAACAGAGACTAGCAACTTGCCCACGATCACTCAACCCCAGAGAAGTGAGGCAGAAACCCGTTTTCACGGGCCGACTCACAGCACTGACATGTCCCAGCTCTGCCGACAAAGAGCTGTCTTCTGATCTGGGCCAGGAAGCGAGCAGCTGAGCAACCTTGAGCCAATCACTTGTCTGCACAAGGCCTCAGAGGCTTTCTGTCCATTTTCATCATTGTTTCTTTCCCCTCTCAGTCACTCCCAAAACTGGGCTGACATTCCTTCCGTGGTAGAGGCCTCACTCTCTCACTGGAAGCGTCTTTCATTCACAGGAAGTCCTGAGCGCAACCACGTCCTTCCTTCCCACTGAAGTTTGCCTCGTGGACATCCTATGCTCGGATCCATGCTTTCATGCCACGCGTACGTTCCTGAACGCCTATTTTTGCCTG